AGTCATTGATTTTCATTCATGCATACTTTAACATATGTTCATGTATATCACATAACAGATGCACTAACTCATAATACACATATATCATGTCATACAATTCCTATCACACATCATATATATATATATATATATATTACATACATTGTATTCAAAGTTATCTCTTTGTTAGCCCATGTACATATGTGAGAACTAAAGATATGCGAGTACATTGAGGTTGTGCACTATATTGTCATCACAGCTCGTATGGGGTCCCACTAGGGGCATGTGAAATTTGTCCCAAATGACCTATGCATTTGTCCCGAAGGACATAGGTAACACTGTCCATATGTCCCAAAGGACATAGGTAAACTATCCATATGTCTCGAAAGACATAGGTAACCCTCGACTCTTGGCATGCCAAATATACCTCTAGCTCTCCTAACACTTACATAGGCATTTTCTTTTATATCGTTTCACATAGTCATATATCATATGCTCATACCTTTTATCATATAATTTCCCATATTCTTATAATCATATGATTCACTTTCAAGTATCACATATATTTTCTCTTTCCTAATTCTCATGTCACATATCACATGGCTCTCAGTCATGTCTTCATATAGTCACATAGTTCATCTCACTTAACCTCTTATGTTCATATCATATAACATATAAACTCCTAATTTCTTATCCAATATATCATATCATTTATACCTTGTTATCACATAACTATTTATATATCCTTATCACACCAAATAACATATAACCTCTATTAATCTATCCATGTATTCATGCATACATAATAGTCGTATCAACCACATATATTAGCATTCATATATTTACTTATGTTAATACCAAATTACTTACCTCATATTCTCATGTTATCACATAAACATATAAGAACACATCCACACATATAAGCATGCATACATATAAATCATGTCATTCACATACTTCTATATATGAATTCATGCATTTTTACTATTGGAAATAGACTTGTCACAAGTCTTATTTCCTATTAAACATCATATATTAAATAATATGCACTCACATGGCCTCACTATTGAGATTGCGCTTGTTCTTCTTGCTCAAGCATCTATGCCACTTTGCTTTTGATCATATGAAGTTGTCACTGTAGTTTATCTAATTAATCGATTGCCAACAAAGGTGTTGTAAGGAGTGTCACCTTTTGAAAATTTCTTTGGCAAGAAACCAGAATATGGGTTGTTGAAAGTGTTTGGGTGTCGATGTTTTCCATATCTACGACCATTTCTGAAGTATGAGCTTGAGTTTCGATAGTAATCATGTATTTTTCTTGGATACAGTCCTCATCACAAAGGGTTCCAATGTCTCACTTCTGATGGTCGTATATATATATATATATCACGACATGTGGTTTTGATAAGGTGAATTTTTCTTTTGTAGATGTTGCTCATGCAGGAACTTCATCTAGAAAAGTTGGTCAGCAACCCCAGTCTCTAGAAGTTGTTACGGATGTAGAAAAGTTTAGAAGATGTGATGGTTCTACCTCATTAGATGTGGATTGTGGATCTAGTGATGGTACTTCAGTTCCTATTGAAACTGGTTTACTTGTTGTGCATGAGGAAGCATCCAGGGTAGCAAGTTTGGATGGTAATAGTAGAATTCCTACTTCCCACTCATCTAGTCCTATACATAATAGTCATAATGAGAACATAGGTAGTACTACGGAGCCAATTCAGTCGCTTGATGAACAACATGATAATGATGAAAGTACTGTGAATAAGCACCCGATGCTTACGCGAAATAAATATGGTATCTTTAAGCCTAAGGTGTATACAAGTTTCTTTTATGATACAATACCAACCAATGTTCGATGGGCATTACAGTCTCTTAGTTGGAAGGTTGTTGTCTACACGGAGTTTGATGCATTTCAAGAAAACAAGACTTGGTCACTTGTTTCTTTACCCAAATGGCGCGATGTTGTTGGGTGCAAATAGCTCTTCAAAGTAAAGAAGAATCTGGATGGTTTTTTTCAAAGGTATAAAGCCCGGTTGGTCGCCAAACATTACTCACAGGTTTCTAGATATGACTTTAAAGATATCTTCAGTCCGGTTATAAAGTTTGCCACGCTGAATGTTATTCTTTCGCTTGTTGTTACTAAGAACTGGCCTCTGCGTCAAGTAGTTGTGAACAACGTATTCTTGAATAGAGATCTGTCCAAATATGTGTTCATGCAACAACCTCCAGGGTTTGAAGAATGTGTTGTTGATGGTTCTCCTATGATGTGTAAGCTTCACAAAGCCCTGTATGGTCTTCGCTAGGCTCCAATGAATTAGCATGATAAGCTTAAGGCTAGTATTGAGCAAATTGGATTTGCTGAATCACGAGCAAATTTGTCACTCTTTGTGAAGTGTGTGGATAGTTGATATATGTTTGTTTTGGTTTATATTGACGACATAATAGTTACTGGTGAATCTAGCGATGATATTGAAAGAGTGATTCAACTCTTGAAAGATGATTTCTCACTCAAGGATTTGGGTGAACTGATATTTTTTTCTTGGCATTGAGGTTAAAAAGAGTAGTGGCAAGTTTGTTATCTCTCAAATGAAGTATATTCTTGAGTTGTTAGAACGGACAAATATGATTAATGACAATCCAACTGCTACTCCAATGGTGGGGTTATTGAAATTGAATCATGAAGCAGGGTCATTGTTGTTTAACTCTCGTGAGTATCGAAGTATAGTTGAGGCATTTTTGTATGTCTGCCACACTTAACCTGACGTTGCGTTTAGAGTGAATAAGGTCGTCCAACACATGCATGCACCTCGTGAGTCTCATATGGCAGCAGTCAAACATATACTTCGATATTTGGCTGGTACCTTGGTCTATGGTCTCACGTTCTTGGCTGCTGATGCAGGACTAAAGGTTGTGGCTTTTGCTTATGCAGATTACGGGTGATGCAGATGATCGTTTCAAGGTCGACCATGGAGACAGAATATCGAAGTGTCTCAGACGCAGTAGCTGAAGTAACATGGGTTAGTGCATTGCTAGCTAATTTAGGTGTAAAGCAACATGAAGAGTCGATTATCTAGTGTGCTAATACCAGTACCATTGCCATGAGCGTGAATCCAATTTACCATGCTCAGTCTAAACACGTGGATATGGATGCTTATTTTATTAGAGAAAAGGTTGTTGCTAAAGTGTTACGTGTCAGCTATGTTCCGACCAGCTGTCAGATTGCAGATGGTCTCACAAAGCTTCTGACTAAAGCTCCGTTTGAAGTATTCAGGGACAAGGTCTGTTTCTTACCTTGTTAACGCAGGAGGATGAGGAAGTAGAGTAAATATTGGAATAGTTAGATGCACATGAGTTGTTAAGCTGTTAGAGGTGTTGTTAAGGTCGTTAGCTGAGCAATTAGAGTTAGGTATACGGTTAGATTAGTTGTGAAGCTGCTATAAAACCAGTGTACTTGTAGTTCAGAAAAACGAAGAAAGAAAATCATTACTCTTCCATTTCTTTTATGTTTACTTCAGTTTTCCAATAATATTAAACTATATATATCAAAGAATTTAGATTTTGAATGTAGAAAGTTTAAGCTTTCAAGTTACGAGTCATTCATTACCTAAATATAACTATTGGTAATGACTGATGATTAATTAGATTGATTGGGGGAATAATAAAGTGATTTTTCTTTGAAAATTTATAATTGTATATAATTTAAATATTTTTATATTTTACTTAATAATATATTTTAATTTTTAAAAAAATTATAAGTTTATTTGTTAATACAAATTTATAAAATTTTACATCACTTCTGATTACACGCTTTGATAACACTTGTAAGGTTCAACATTGGGATGATGACGACCAGGAAGATAGACGTGCAAACTTGAGTTATCAAAGATCTTTCTTTTCCCCTTGGTCCATCAATGAAGTTTAATGACCATTTAAAGCCTTCCTACATCATTCCTTAAGTGCAATTAACGCCCATGGATTATTGAAGGAGAAGTGAAAAGGAAAGATGTTATCTACATTTAATGTTAATAAAAAGGTATAATGTCAAATATAATCCTCAATGGTTACCAAAATGGTCATTTGATCTCTATTATCTTTTTAGAGCATTTTAACCCCCAACGTCTGACTTTAGAACAAAAACTCCCTCTATATATGAAAATGATTAGTTAACACACGATTGAAATTCTAAAATAGGAGATTTTTTAATATGAAACGAAAGTTGAGGGTGAAAATAAAAAAAAGAATAAGGGATAAAGTTATCATTTTGTCAAATGTTAAGGGCATTTTTGCCCTAAAATAAAACCTTTGGGGGGCAAAAATGCTCCAAAAATAGAAGAGTTTAAAATGATCATTTTTATAAATATTGATGGATACTTTTAATATTATGTATAACAAAAAGGTTAATTGATAATTTGATTAAAGATTATTTTAATATTATTTTTAAAAGTTATAATACTAAAATAATAAATTTAATATTTGATCAAATTGTTATTTTAGTCCATATTCTTTTAGTACTTCAACTTCCCCGTATCATTTTGAGATGAAATATCAAATGATTAAATAAAACTCACTAGTTGACTAACATTTATAAATTATATATATATTTATCTAAAGTGATTATGTGTCATATGTCTAAGTATAAACTTAATACATGACTCTTATCTAAAATAATGACGTAACATATATCACGTCATAACTTTAAATATTTATCATATGATGTATCTTCATTTTTTAACACATATTATGTGATACATCGTCACTTTGAACATATCATCACCTTACTCGACTAACTTTTTTTCACTCAACCAGAAATATTTCATCTTAAAATAAAATATTAAATAAAAATAAAAATAAAATGAAAAACATATCAAATGAAAATAAATTTTGATACTATGTAAATTCTCGGGCTGCATTTTTATTGGAAAATGATCAAATAGTTTCGGTCACTTACATTTTGTCATTTTCCCCCTTCCATTTCCATATTTATACACCTTTTTTCATGGTCTTAACGTCCACCAAAGCCACGAAGAAGAGAGTGAGGGTGTGTCTAATCAACCTCCCAAATGCCTTTAAATTGTTGTACCCTGGGTTTCAGAGTCCTACATCTCCCGGGACAACAACCAAAAGTACCCCACACCAACAAATTAGCACCAACAACCTACGTAGGAACTTGCTTCCCAACAAAGCTTGGGAAAAAACCTCATCAAAACAAGTCCTTCCACATTGTTTCTCAGTCAAAGTTCAACCAAAACTACTCTCCTTATTCCCCTGTAATGGAAGACCAGGCAGAGCTTGTTGTTTCACCTGCAGGACAAGAAACATACGCCCGGGAATTGGATGTCGCTGTCAGGGCTGTTCAAATGGCTTGTTCACTCTGTCAGAATGTCCAACACACTTCAGTTCTGGCGGGTAATGTCAATCACCTTTGTTCTGTTTGATTCTTTGTCTGAATTGTGTTCTTGACAACGATTATGTTCAACTGATCATCTTGATTATGCTTTATAATCAGATTGGAGTGTTCGAGTAACGGTAAGCTGGATACTATGTGAATCTTTCGGGTGTCAAAATGTGTCGATTCTGGCCAAAGAAGATGTTCAAAGCCTCTCTAAAGCTGATGCAACTGGTGTGCTAGATGCTGTGGTGAAAACGGCCAATGACTGTCTAACCGAGGCGCCGCATTTCGGGATTAAGGGACCGGAAAGGCCGCTCGGGAGTTCGGATGTTCTCGAAGCCATTAGTCACTGCACTTCAACTGGAGGTCCTACTGGAAGATTTTGGGCACTTGGCCCCGTACGAGGCGATCAATACTCTGTTTCTTTAGCATTAATAGAGGATGGGGAAGTTGTGCTCGGTGTTCTCGGTTGCCCGAATTATCCGATGAATAAGGAATGGCTAACTTATCAACACCGCTATCACCGGATCCTATCGAAACTCGCCCCAGCGACATCAGAATCATGGGATAAAGGGTGCGTGATTTATGCAAGGAAAGGTAGCGGTAAGGCTTGGATACAACCTTTACACCAGAAGAATAAGCTGCTAACAAGGCCAAACTCTGCAATAACTGTTCAAGTATCCTTAATCGATAATCCGGGGCTGGCTACTTTCTGTGATCCGGTCGAGAAGTCAAATTCAACCCACTCCTTCACAGAAGGATTAGCTCACAGTCATGGCCTTAGGTGCATATGTAGTTTTCATGTTTTATATCTCATTTCCATGCACAAACTCCATACGTATAACAAAAAACATGATTATATGTACCGCAAATGCAGGAAGCAACCGCTGCGTGTGTACGACGCGGCAAAATATGTCGCCATAGCCAGAGGAGACGCTGAAATATTTATGAATTTCACGAGGACGGGGAACAAGGAGAAGATATGGGATCATGCAGCTGGTGTTCTTATCATACAGGAAGCTGGTGGTGTTGTAACAGATGCAGGGGGATCCCCACTGGATTTTTCGAAAGGCATGTCCATAGAAGGTATCGATCGAGGCATAGTCGCTTGTTCCGGAGCTAAACTCCATGAAGAAATCATCAACGCCATTGATGCTAGCTGGAACTCCTCCAATCTATGATCAATTTTACATTTGCGTATTGATTACTGCAAACCAGAGATGCTATGGCAGAGTGAAGGCCGCTATGTAAATGGTTATTTATATAAAGCTAAGTTGTAAAGCTGATTCAGCATCAGCCAATAAGTTTGGTCTTTATCATAAGTTTGTACTAATAGCTTTGTATTACGTTTGAGCTTCGAGTTTATATTTATAAATAAATAAATTGCTTTTCACACATATTTCGAGTACAATTTGATTTGGTTGTTTAATTGAAAACAATTTTCGGATAATAAAATTTTTACTTTTAGTCAATTTTCGAATTTTCAATTATCTGTCATCATTTATGATAAAATTGATATCAAAATATTTATATTTCTCTCGTTTTTCTTATCATATATTTAATTTTTTTTCGATAAGATTAATTTTGAGATATATTGTACATATTAAAACCTTCAAATTTAATAAAATCCCAAACTTCAAAAAAATGATAGACTTTTATGTTTAATTTTGTGAGTTTTAAAGAATATTTGAAAAAAATAAATTGATGGTATTTGATGATAACCCAAAGTAGAGGAAAATCTTAAATTTAATTATGAAAATGAAGAAAAATAATAAAGGATAAAAAATCACAAGAAAAAAATATTACATGACTCCCACATTTGCACGTATCAGAATAAAAATATTACATCATATAATTATTAATGATTTAATAATAAAAAAATCAAAAATTAATAATTAAATTGAAATTCATTTATAATTAGTGACAAAAACAAAATAAATTCTAAAATTCAACGACTAATGGTATACTTTACCCCGAAATAATTTCAAAATAAAGTGACAAAACTAACGAAATTGCAAATAAAAAATGAAGTGTTGAAAAGCTCAATGGCAAAATAAATTTGAAATAAAATCTGTGCAGCTCCATCCAGCCGCCAGCTTACACAGAATCCGGTCAGTTTAGCCCCTTCTCACCTTTATACACCGGTAACCGCCGTATGCTGGAACAGGAACGGAAAGAACCGCTTTCCCTTTCTTTCTTTTCGCCGGTTTAGTTTTTTTTTTCTTGTAAAGACATTACCCGGAAGCTATATATATAGTTTATTCCATTACCGGAAATTTTTGCTTAAAATTACATTGAAATAGCTCTCATGTTCCCCAAAGTTCATGCATTACTCAAGTTCAAGTTTCTGGTCTCTGCCTCGAGCCGCGGTTTTACGATTCCAAACTCTGCTTTTCGGATCACTGCCACCTATTCGACAATATGCCAGAACCAAGTTGAAAGCCTGAGGGAGGAAGCTGTAGAGCATCCGACAGACTCCGTTGAGATTTTCAGGAAATGGGGTTGCGGTGAAGATGATTTGTCGAATATCTTTTCGCGCAAACCCTCTTTGCGCCGCGCTCAAGTCACTCCCCTCTTATCCAAATTCAACTTGCTGAGCAGCTTGGGACTTACCGGTTCAGACATTGTCAAGATAATCAATTGTCGCCCTCGTTTTCTCTGTTCTCGTATCAATAACTGCTTCGAGGAGCGGATCGAGTTTTTCATTGGACTGTTTGGATCGCGAGAAATGCTGCGTAAAGCACTCATTAGGAACCCTTCACTCTTGGTGTATGATTTCCACAATAAGGTGAAACCAGTCATTGCATTGTATGAAGAGTTCGGGATTACTGGAAATGACTTGATTGCTATGCTCATCTCGCGTCCCACATTGATTTCAAGGACTTCTTTCAACGAGGAGAAGATGGAATTCATAAAGAAAACAGAGGTTTCAAGAGGTTCCAAAATGTACAAGTATGTGGTTTCACTCGTCGGGATATCGCGGATCGAGACGATACGCGAGAAGCTGACGAACTTGGAGAAATTTGGTTGTTCGGAGGAGGAGGTTTGGAGTCTCTTCGGACGTTCACCCTTCATTCTCACACTCTCGGTCGAGAAAGTTCAGAGGAACATGACCTTTGTTTTGGGGATGATGAAGCTGTCTCCGAAAGTGGTGCTTCGGAAACCCTTTTTACTGTTCTGCAATCTCGAAGCGGTGTTGAAACCGCGGGTCTTGTTGGCTCGGAAGATAAAGGAGATGGACCTTCACCCACAGGTTGACGGATCAGTCATGCTGACGGCGCTGAGGATGAAAGAAGATCGGTTCTTGAATGTGTTTGTTAAGTGTCATCCACAGGAGGTGGCCACCCAACTGTTGGAGTTCTACAGACATGCCAAAGGTCTCAGGCCATTGGCCGAATCCTCCAAAAAGATAAAGCGTACAGGATTTCCATTTTAAGCATTTTCGTTCCTTTGATGCTGTCTTCATTTCTTTTGTTCCTTGAAAGTTCATTACTTTAAACGTTAAGATTGTTCTCTTTTCTGAAACTTGGATATTTTCCATGTTGAAATTATATTTTCTGAAAAATATTTTAGAGTGTTCGGAAGCGGTTGTGTAAATTATTTTTCACTAATTAAAGAATTTTTCAGAAATTATTTACTCAAAATATTAAATATAATAAATAATATTATTTATCATAAAAATTTAATATTATTATTTTTAAAATATTAGAGTACTTTATTTATTATTATTAAAATATTATTTTTATAATTTAAAAATAAAATATTAATATTAGTAAATTCTATTAATAAATAATATAAATTTTATTAATAATTTATTATATATTATTAAAATAAAAAGATAAATTCTTATATTATATTATTATAATATATAATTGAGTATATCATTATAATATTAATAAATATATTTTAAATAATTTAACCATTAATATTTTAATTAAAATGATATTAAAATATTATATCAATATTAATTCATAAAATAAAATTATTTTGAGTATCTATTATTTGAAGTGAAAAGTTTGAAAAATGACTATAAAAAAATCAGACCGTAAGTCATTTTCCAGAAAATACATAGGAAATTCTGTTGACCGAAAAAATATTTTACGTTGACCAACCAATTTTCCTTCAACCAAACGATAGAAAATGAGGAAAACAATTTCCAAAAAACGTTTTACGTGAAACAATTAGGTGCTGACCTAAGTTCACCTTTCTTTGACATAAAATATCACGTCAATTCATATATATATATATATATATATATATATATATATATATATATCATCTCTTTGTTAGATATGCACAGATTCATCTGTGTTTTCTGGATCATACTCTTCATTTATCTTAAGGGTAAAATATCAAACATTCTCAGGGTTCTTTTTTTTGTTGATTTTTCTCAACTATGAAAAATTGTAAAATGGTCAGCCCAAAGTAACAAGTTGATTTGTTGTCGTTAAAAAATTGGTAGCAGATAATATATCAATATAATAATAAATTTAACCCGTAGTCTTTTATATTTGGTTTTGATTTTATTGAAACGGTCTTTTTGGAGGGGAAAAAGGGGGTCTCGTTTCGAAAATAATTCTTTGGAACGACTGGTTAATGAAAAAACGTGATTCGATGAGTCATCACCAATATTTGATTAGGGTGTGATTAGACACTCAAAATGTATTTGTCATTTTAATAAAATATTAATTTTAATTAAAGCGAAAAACTTGATGTATGCGTTACCAAACTTTGAGTTCGGGAGTCGGTTACGTGTAGGGAAGAATTAGCACCCCACAATGCCCTAAATTTGTACCTAATCGATTAATTAATTGTCTTTGCAATAAAGTAACAAGTTCGAGTCTAATTCAATTTAAGATCTCCTAAAATAACATTCTTTGAAATTTGGATGAAAGATGATAATATTTAATTATTACATATCGAGAAGAATCGATCTCTCATACCTTGAAGCAATCGATTCTTCCTCCAATCGAAATAAAGAAATATTAAAATTTCATTCTAAAGTTCACTATTAATTCAAAATAATAACACCCAAAATAATTTTAAGAGTGAAAATGATAATATCTAATTATTTCCAATCGAGAATATATGACCTTTTGTGCATTAAAACATTCATTTATTACCCTAATTGAAATAAAGGGATATTGCTATTTTGCCTTAAAATTACAAAGCGATTCTAATGAAAAAAATAATATCTAATGATTTCCAATCGAGAATAAACGACATCTCGTACCTTAAAGCAGATATTTATTACTCGGACTGAAACGAAAGGATATTACTATTCTCAATGTCGATTCAAATGTTATTGTCTTGAAAACCTATCGGAAAACACATGCAAAAATAAAACAAATAAAAGCATAACAAACAATAAATTAATTAACTATTTTACCGATATTTAATAAGAAAAATGATGTTCAATTATTTAAATATCTTGAGACGAGACCTTAGATTTGATCTAACAGTCTTTTCTCAATGAATTTAATTAAAAGAACATTAATGTTTTTTTCTCAATCCCCGACTTTTAAGAATGAAATTGATTTAATTTGTGTCACTAAATTGGATAACTTTCATTTTAAAATTATCGAAAGTAACTTTCTTATAAGTTAAGACAGTCACTTTACGACAATATTAAAATGGTCGAATATTACCCTTAGTCAATTTATTTCGAATCGAGTCAAGGGATGCTTATGAGGATATCATGCGAGATTAATTAGGACTAAAATGAATTAAAATGCAAAAACATGCAAAAATTAAAAATAAAACAAAATATACAAGTGACTAAAATTAACATTTTCAATATTTAATGCTGAAATTACAAGGAGTGAAAAATAAATAATGCATGGGGCTAAATCGAACTAAATTAAAATTATATGGCTGAAGTAAAATAAATAAAAACATATATTCAGGTTCGAAATATAAACATGCAAAAATACAAGGGGTTATACAGAGAATATCCCTAAAATTAAATATCAGGCATAAAAGGGTAAATTACATAAATAATTCTTATAGGGACTAACATGCAAAAACATGCTAAAAGTATGGGGACTAAAATGATATTATACCAAATATTGCAAAGCATGAATAAAATGGAAAAATAACGAAACTGGTCATTCCCATTGACTATTCTACAAAAACACTCTGAAACTAGGGGGACCTTTGTGTAATTTCCCCCGAAATTTCCTATATAAATACAACTTTTTGTTTTTTTTTCATTTCTAACAGATTTCAAAGGAAAAAAAATGAGAGAGCCCTCTGCTATCTCTCAAAGTTCATTGGCCGGCCCACTGCCGGCCACCGCGACTCACTTCCGGCCATCATTCAGCCGTCGCGCCGGCCATCACACACGGTGGCTGAAATTTCCAAACTCAACCAAAATTATTCATCCACTCCGATCTACCACCCTAGACCCTTCTTCTAGGCTAAAACGACCCTAAACCCCCAAAATAAGCCCCCAACCTTTCAATTTTCACACTCCGACCGCTGGAGAAGGCGAATCGGCTCCCCTCCGACAACTACCCTCTAAGGTAAACTCTACTCTCTCTCTCAGGTTTTATTTAAAAGCGTAGTTTTTTTATTATATTTATTTTTTTCTAAACTATATAGAAAAATAATAAAAAATACCTCGAAAGAAAACTCAAAATCTCTGCTTTTATTGTTTTTTAATATGGAGGTTTTTTGTGAACCCTTTTTACATTTTTGGTTCGACTTATATAGCCCGTGTTTTACATATATTACTTGCTTTTTCTTTTTTGAATGAAAATGATTAATGTGAAAAAGAGTGGTTTTTGCGTGTTGATCTTGGTATTCGGCTGCTTGTTGATTTGTGATTCTGACATTGCAGGGGGCTTGGTTGGTGGCAACAATGGTGGATTGGGATTGGGTTAAACGGGCAGTGGAATCTGCTCGATTTGGACCGTTGGATGGGTCCAAATATGACGGCTATTGAAACGGAGACTGAGACATATTAGGGTAAACCCTAATTTTGGTTCGATCTGGATCTTCCATCTTCAACTCGATCGGACGACTGGGATGAGAAGACGGCTGAAGCTAAAGATGAGAAACCCTAGTCGAGTTTGGGCCACTTGATCGGGCTGCAGCATTGGGCTTGAGGGCTGTTGTAACACCCAACCCGTATCCGACCCGGATATGAATCCGAGGTGTCACCTTAACTATTCAAAACATGTACATTTATAAAACCCATAGAAAATTTTAAAACTTATATTCGATAAAGTAATTCTTTTTTAAAAACATGTTCAAAACCTTACCAGACTCCATCAGAGCGTATATTCTTAATAACTTAGTTTACATGCCAACATACTAATTTACATAACAAAACATAACTTACAAAAGATTTCTGATCTGATCTTTGAGCAGAGATATGTTGTTTTGCTGGTACTAGGCGTTATCATCTTACTTATCAACACCTACGCGTAAGACACTTACACGCTAAGTTATAAACTTAGTGAGACATGTAAATACATATGTAATTAACAAATGCATGTACATACTATATAATACACATTCTACTTAACATGAACATAGTATATAATCACTAAATCACCTCAATATATGAACAATTACTATGATCATATCCTACACAAACACATAGCATTTCATATCACCATTACACATATGCACTGGTTATCATTATTATCATATAATCCTCACTTATCACTTACACATGTCATATATCACATATACCATTTTACGAAAATACACATATCATCATATCAAATTATTTATTCTTTTTAAAGCCTATACACACTTATGAGAATTTAAGGTATGTGAGTACATAGAGGTTGTGCACTATACTGTCACTACAGCTCGTATAATTCCCACTAGGGGCGCGTAGAATTTGCCCCGTAGGACCACTATGTCCCGAAAGACCACATATAACACATATCACATATGTCCCGAAGGACTACGTAGAACCCTCAACTCTTGGCATGCCAACTATACCCCTAGCTCTCATACACATAACATGGGAATTATTATAATATTAGCACATTTTCACATATTCATATCATATACACATATAAGCTCAAGGCTTCTTATCACATATATCATGTAATACTCACGTGGAGTTTCATATCTTTTTATCATATATGTCATATCACAAGTTCTTGTATTTACATCACATGTCATCACGTAGCTCATGTCACGTTTTCATATGATTTCATATTCACATATCACTTAGCTTGTTTCTTGTTATTATATCTTCTCATATACATATAAACACATATTTTCTCATCTTATAATTTATATTACACATGCATGTAATCTTATAACTTATTATCTAAGATAACATTCTTGTATTGTTTCATAGATCGTTATCACATAAATGCATATCACATAACATATAATGCAAGCAAGACACATTCACATAGTATACAATCCTAATCATACCTCAACTCATGCTATCATATACTCATATAA